AAGCGAGTCTCCTGCCTCCATCTCCCAAGTAGCTGGGACCACAGGCGCCCGCCACAACGCCTGGCTATTTTTTGGTTGCAGCTGTCATTGTTGTTTGACGGGCCCAGGCTGGGGATTCGAACCCGCCACCTTAGGTGTACGTGGCTGGCGCCTTAGCTGGTTCTGGCTTCCTACTTGGTGATTTTTATTTTGTTTTGAACCCAATTGAGTATGCTATACTTCAACAAGGTCAGTGCTAAGAGTACAGAGTTATGCAAAACACATGAAGCTTTATTAATTCTCCGGTAACAAAAACTATTGGCAATTCTCTTTTATAGTTGTTTTATATGAAAAGAAGAAAGTGTCTTAAAAAAAAAAAAAGGGTTTGTATTGACTTTGACTGAATTTCTGCTTTGATTGGCTGCGGGAATTAAATTGATTTCAGATTTTGAGCAATTAAAATCAATTGCAAATGTTTTCTAAAAGCATTAGTTAGTGGTTTAGAGTATTATCCCCTGAAATAATTGGCTGTGAAATGCCAGAGTTGTTTTCATTTTAATATATTTCTAATGCAACCACCATAAACAAATGATAATTAATAATTTTTTGGTGCCAAGGGGTTACTAAAGGCAAGATCTAGACTCACTAACTGCATGTTAAATACCTGTGTATTAATTAAAGAGCTTGCTTCAAATGATGAGCATACAAGATATCTTAAAGATGTGAATAGTAATACTGCAGGAACAGCTATTCTGAGCAACTAAATTATGCAAAAGCTCTAGAATAAGTTGAGCAAATGTGACAATGGTAAGAAGTTCTGACATGGAAAGAAGGAAATGTAGAACATTTAGTTACCAGTCTTTCTCCTTTCCAGTAACAGTGACCAGTCATTCCAAACCATCTTTCATAATTAGAGAAAGGACATGGAATTCCTAACACTGAAGAATGTCCCAGCTTAAAAAGGCCTAGTGTCTTTCCAAATAATGTCCCGGCAATATTTAGCTGAACATCATTAGCAGTTTCCAAATCCAAATCCAATGTACCAGATGCTTATTACGGCATAATCCATTCAGGAAAGTCTTGAGAGAAGCTTAGTACCTGGAAGCCTTGAAGTGAGCAAGGTAACAGAAAGTTGGAAAAAACCTTTCATTAGTTCCTGAGAGGACTCATTGCTTGCAGTTACAACATCTAAAACCTGTTACTTTTGAGTCTCTTGGCCACAGATACTTCCTGTACATAGTGGGACTACTATAAATTTAGCTCAGGAATAAGTGGAAAACTTTAGCTTAAGTTTCTTTGTTAGAAAGTTGTATTATGGTAAATCATTGTTTTTCATTATTAAAAAAAAAAAAAGCCTGTGCTGGGGCGGTACCTGTGGCTCAAAGGAGTAGGGTGCTGGCCCCATATACCAGAGGTGGCGGGTTCAAACCTGGCCTCAGCCAAAAACTGCAAAAAAAAAAAAAAAAAAAGCCTGTGCTATATCCTTAAACCTGACCTATTTTCCACTTTTGAACTTTTCCCACCTTCTCTGTTTATTTTGTAATATATACATCTCCCTAACTTTTTATTATGAAAACTATCAAATATACAGAAAAGTTGAAAGGATATTAGTGATCAGTATATTTGCTGTGTGTTTGTATTTTGGTGGAACCATTTGGAAGTTGCAGACATAATTTATCACCCCTAAATACTTTAGCACAAATAACCTGCAAATATGTAATTCTCCTATTCAGCCATAATGTCATTATATGGTGTACTTAGTTTTTATTACATTTCAACATTTATTCATATTTGTCTTTTATTTCATTTATTTTTTTGAGACAGAGTCTTACTCTGTCACCCTCAGTAGAATGTGGCGTCATAGGTCACAGCAAGCTCCAACTCATGGGCTTAGACAATTCTCTTGCCTCTTGCCTCAGCCTCCCGAGTAGCTGGGACTACAGGCAACCACCAGAACGCCCGGCTGTTTTTTTGTTGCAGTTTAGCTGGGGCCAGGTTCTAACCCACTACCTTCGGTATATGGAGCTGGCGCCCTATCCTCATTTTTTTTTTAAATTTATTTTAATTTATTTATTTTTTTAGAGACAGTCTCACTTTGTTGCCCTTGGTAGAGTCCTGTGACATCACAGCTCACAGCAACCTCCAGCTCTTGGGCTTAGGTGATTCTCTTGCCTCAGCGTCCCGAGTAGCTAAGACTACTCCCACCACAATGCCCGGCTAGCTACCCTCATTTTTATATTTTAAAGACTGATCACTTTTCTCTGAGAAAATAAGCCCAACAGCCTCAATTGACTAGTAGGTTCTTCTGGGATGACGTCACAGACCTTTCATTAGATTTTATCAATAGATGGCAATATGACAACAAACAGAAATAGAAATGCTGTATTTCGGCTTGGCGCCTGTGGCTAAAGTGGCTAAGGCATCAGCCACATACACCCAAGGTGGCAGGTTCGAATCCAGCCAGGCCTGCCAAAAAAAAACAACAATGACGGCTGTAACCAAAAAATAGCCGAGCGTTGTGGTGGGCGCCTGTGGTCCCAGCTACTTGGAGGCTGAGGCAAGAGACTCACTTGAGCCCAGGAATTGGAGATTGCTGTGAGCTGTAATGCCACAGCACTCTACCCAGGGGGATAGCTTGAGGCTCTGTCTCAAAGAAAAAGAAAAAGAAATGCTGTATTTCATTGGGGGGTTTTGGCATGAAAATATAAACTGATTTTTTTAAATGAAGGGTTATATGATTGTACATATCCTGTCTTGGATGCTAGTCATTCTCAAGAGGAGGGGGCATTGCTGTCATGGTGTACTAGCTCATATTGCCACAGTCTGATTGTGTTGATGTATAACTTTATTTCCTTGCTAAAAGTGCTATGCGATATTCTAGTTTTCATAGTAAAGATCATAAGCTGCGAAAAGCTTACTTGTTTGCAGAAGTCTTCTAATAAATATTTTACAAGCTTTGTCAGAGACAAAGAATTAGTCATCTGGTGGAAACAGTGTCTGCATCTTAAGGTAATGTGGCAACAGAAGAGAGGTAATGTCAAACCACAGCCCTGGCAGCTCCTATCTAAGTTGTGCTTTTGTTATGCTGTTTAGGTATTCCAAAGGCTGCTAGAGTTCTTGGAGCAAAATATTGCCAAGGTTTGGAAAATGTTTTCTTAGGAAAATATGGCTACCTCACAATAATTGTATCTTCCTCTCCAGTCTGGTGCTTTTGGATTAATATGCAACCAAATTAGTTACAAGTCTATTTATTAACATGCATAATGAGGTGGCACCTGTGGCTCAGTGAGTAGGGCACTGACCCCACATACCGAGGGTGGTGGGTTTGAACCCGGCCACGGGCGTTGTGGTGGACGCCTGTAGTCCCAGCTACTGGGGAGGCTGAGGCAAGAGAATCACCTAAGCCCAAGAGCTGGAGGTTGCTGTGAGCTGTGACACCACAGCACTCTACCAAGGGTGACAGAGTGAGACTCTGTCTCAAAAAAAAAAAAATGCATAATGATTATCAAACATATGTTCTCTGGAACTTGCCCTATAAAGGAATTTGCTCCTTGAGGAAACGATTCTTCCTTATACATTTTTTTATGTCTCACACTATAGTCTCTGTATTAAAAACTTTGTGCTAACATAACTACATAGTGAGCTAAATTGAATTAGTGTATTATGTGTGTGTGCATGTGTGATTGCTTTTACAATCAGAAACAAGAGTGGAACTTGTATTTACCCTATAGTTACATTCACTTCCGAAGGAGAAATGAGAATGAACAAATTTGAAGAGAATTGGAACATTTCAGGTTCTTACAGGTGTTAAAATTTTAGGTTTTTTCCTTTGTCACCACTAAACCAAACTGATATGGCAAGGAAAATTCTTTGTATTCAGAGGTTGAATACTAGGGTAACCTACTCTCTCCTTAAACATTAAAGTCTTTGGGCTCTTTTATAAGGACATAGAAAAGCTTTATGTGTCTCCAAACCATATACATTTGCAGTGGAAATTTTTCTACAGTCTTGTTAATGTTCTTTTTCTATATAAAAGCCTACCAGAAACCTTAAATTCCATCCTTTACTACTAAATATTACTCAGAAATCAGCACCCTATATGTCTGTCTCTTGACCACTCTACATTCTATGTACTTGGGGCCGGTGGACAGGGCAAATGTGGTCAGCTATTAAAGATATACAAGTGCTAATTATGGCTAAATTTACTATGCCCAAACAAGGATATTGTTAGATAAAAATTCATTAGAAGCAAATCCGTTATAGACCAAAATATAAAAAGTATGTGAGTGCAATTTCCACAATTACTTTTGGCTTTAGCACAACTTACTTAGAAACAAGTTTTGTGGCTTGGTACTGCCATCTACTGGTTCTCAACTCTTAGCCTTATAGTAATTGATCAATTATAATAAAGAGAAATATAGGGGAATTTATTTTATTGGAAATCCCTAAAACACTCTTCATTGAGTAAGATAGCAGAATTTCCATGTGGTCCATACAGTATTACCTTGTAGTATGTATTATGCATTTAGTGAACAGACTCGCGTGTCTTTCTCCATTATTAGTAATGTGCTATTTCTGTGTCTCATCAAACCTTTTTTTTTTCTTTGTCATTTCTTCTTAGTTTAATGGATCGGGAAGTGGCATTGCTTGCTGAAATGGACAAAGTGAAAGCTGAAGCAAGTAAGATGATTACCTATAATTAAAGTGATTACCTATATAAACAGCAGGTATCTGCCTCCCAACCCTTGTCACAAAAGCTTGATATAAATGCCACAAAAAGAGTTTATGTACAGTATTTAAACAATCTTGAATAGTTCACATGCACTTGTATATGAATATTTAAGGTGAAATAACTTTATACAAGCTTATTTTTTTTTCCTTGAGACAGAGTCTCATTTTGTTGCCCTCAGTAGAATGCTATGGCGTCACAACTCACAGCAACCTCAGACTCTTGGGCTTAAGTGATCCTCTTGCCTCAGCCTCTCAAGTAGCTGGGACTACAGGCACCCACACAATGCCTGGCTTTTGGTTTTGTTTGGTTTTGTTTTGTTTAGCAAGCCTGGGCCAGGTTGAAACCCACCAGCCCGAGAGCATGTGGCTGGCATCCTAACCACTGAGCTATAGGCACCCAGCCTATTTTTTTTTTTGAAACAGAGTCTCAAGCTATTGCCCTGGGTAAAGTGCTATGGCATCATAGCTCACAGGAACCTCTAAATCTTGGGCTCAAGTGATCCTCTTGCCTCAGATTTTCTATTTTTAGTAGAGACAAGGTCTTGCTTTTGCTTAGGCTGGTCTCAAACTCGTGAGCTCAAGTAATCCACCCACCTCGGCCTCCCAGAGTGCTAGGATTACAGGTATGAGCCACCTTGCCCAGCCTATAAGCTTATTTTTAAAATATTTCTAAATTTTAATATTGCCAATGTGGAGTTCAGTATCTGAGAGACTGCATTATGATATCTGCCACTAGGGTTTTATTTCAGTTTTTTGTCCTCTAATGATTAAATAATTCCATTGGGAGTTTTTTTTCCTACTTAGAAAAAAACTTTTAGCATAATCAGAGGAAACTTGATCAAATTGCTTACAATTATGTATATACATTCCTATCATCACTTATCTCAGAACTTACTTTTTCTCAGTTTCTAAAATGGTCTTCACTTAGTATCTGTTATCAATGGATAAACAGAAAACTCAGTGAATTGAGGGTTCAGGATACCATAACTAGGATTCCTTGAAAGCTGACTAAAATAGATTCTGGAGGAATAGAGTCTAACTTGGGTAATTTGTGGGGTTTTATATGGAAGAGCCAGATTTCTGTTCACTTTAGGTTAAAGATGCACAACCACATGAAAAGTAAGGATTATCAACTGTAACATGTGCAATAGCATTGATTTGGGGCATTTTATTGGCAGGTTCTACCTTCATGCATTGAATGCCAGATTTATAATTAGGAAGGCTGTTTCTTTTAACCCACCCTCAAACTAGTATGAATAGAAATGCTGGGCTAGGTCGAGATGATGACTCACAGTTAAATCATTTGTATCTGTGGTCACAGGCCAGAGGAGTCATCTTTGAAGCAGTGAGCTGAGTACAGTTTGGGTCCATTTTAACTTTAAATGTTGAGAATGTAGCAGAGATACTGTCCCAACTGTTTATCAGAGGTAAAATGTCATTTACATTGAACAGTATATCTTGAAATTCCTAAATTTGACAGCTCACATTCTTACTCTGTGTATTCTCTTTTTGAAGATGAAGGTTTAGATAAACTAAAGCCAATAAGACATAGTCCTTTTGAGAAGAAAGTGCGTTTTTTTGTTTGTTTGTTTGTTTGTTTCAGACAGAGTCTCAAACTGTCACCCTGGGTAGAATGCCATGGTGTCACAGCTCACAGCAACCTCCAACTCTTGGGCTTAAGCAATTCTCTTGCCTCAGCCTCCCAAATAGCTGGGATTATAGGTACCTGCCACAACACCCGGCTATTTCTTGGTTTTAGTTGTCATAGTTTGGCGGGCCCGGACTGGATTCAAACTCAATAGCTCCAGTGTATGTGGCTGGCACCTTAGCCACTTGAGCTACAGGCACCAAGCCAAGAAGAAGGTGCTTTTTAAAATACATTTTTTAATCCCACTACTTAGGAGGCTGAAATGGGTGGATTACCTGAGCTCACAGATTCAAGCCCAGCTTGAGCTAGAGCAAGACCTCATCTCTAAAAATAGTGGGGCGCGCATGGCTCAGTGGGTAGGGTGCCGGCCCCATATACTGAGGACAGTGGGTTCAAACCCGTCCCCAGCCAAACTACAACAAAAAAATAGCTGGGTGTTGTGGTGGGCACCTGTAATCCCCGCTACTTGGGAGGCTGAGGCAAGGGAATAGCTTAAGCCCAGGAGTTGGAGGTTGCTATGAGCTGTGTGACTCCACAGCGTGGGTGATAAAGTGAAACTCTGTCTCTACAAAAAAAAATAAAATAAAATAGCCGGGCATTGTGGCCGGTACCTGTAGTCCCAGCTACTTGGGAGGCAGAGGCAAAAGAATTGCTTAAGCCCACGAATTTGAGGCTGCTGTGAGCTATGACCACAGCATTCTACCGAGGGTGACAAAGTTCTGTCTCAAAACAAATAAATAAATAAAATACATCCTTTATAGAAAATTTCAAATATAGGGGCTAACATTATATAAGAAACCCTTATTACCCAGCTTCAACTAATTCTTGGCCAATTTTTTTTTTTTACCAAATTCAAGACTACAGAGTCTAATTAGTATATTTTCATCAGTTTTATACACATATCTATATTTTCTTTCTCCCTAAAAATCCTGGTTCTTGACACAGTATGATTACTATTTACCAATACTATCAAGAAGGCGGGGTTTTTTTCTTTTTTACACATTATGGTTTTATTAAATAACTTCCATTTTCCTAGGTCACAGTTCAGAGTTTTTCACACATATTCATGTATGATCCTTACATAAACCCTATAAGGTATGGGTTTTTCAGTTTCTTTTTTTTTATTTCATAAATGAAGAAACATATTCTTTGAAATGAGTATCACTTGTTTGGGTGGGCACAGTGGCTCACCTCCGTAATCCTAGCACTCTGGGAGGCTGAGGCAGGTGGATTGCTTGAGCTCATGAGTTTGAGACCAGCCTAAGCAAAAGCAAGACCCCTTCTCTACTAAAAATAGAAAAACTGAGGCAAGAGGATCACTTGAGCCCAAGATTTAGAGGTTCCTGTGAGCTATGATGTCATAGCACTTCACCCAGGGCTACAGCTTGAGACTTCATCTCAAAAAAAAAGATTCGGCTCCCATAGCACAGTGGTTACAGTGCCGGCCACATACACCGAGGCTGACGGGTTCGAACCTGGCCCGGGCCAGCTAAACAACAATGACAACTGCAAGAAAAAAATAGCCAGGCATAGTAGCGGGCACCTGTAGTCCCAGCTACTTGGGAGGCTGAAACAAGAATCGCTTAAGCCCAAGAGTTTGAGGTTGCTGTGAGCTGTGACGCCACAGCACTCTACTGAGGGCAACATAGTGAGAGTGTTTTTTTTTTTCCTCTTTAAAAAAGAAAACAACAACAAATATCACTTGTCTGATGCTGTATAATTATGTCCTTTGAATTATCTGACACGTGTAGAAATCTTTATTCATCACATTTTCTCCATCTTGAGATCCGTAAGATTCCTATAAAAAGCTTTCCTGAGTACTGCTTGTATCTCAATGGCAGACTGTGTCACATGACCATCTCATCCGGAGCAAAGCCAGGAAACAGATTTTTACCTGAGTGTGTTGCTATCCCAAATCACTGGACTTCTGATAGCTAGGAAGAAAAGGAGCGTGGGTTTTAGTCAACTAACAGTCTTCGCTATAGTCTTCCTCTGCAGCTACCCAGTATCCCTCTTTTTTCCAAAATGAGAATAAACTTAACCCTCTTCTCAATGGCAACACCTCAAAAGTCCATCTAGTTAGCATATTCAGCTGAGGGTGTGTTGTGGTCTGGGTGTCATAAACTAAAAGAGAAGTTAAAAGCCCCATTTGCCAATATTATATAATTAGAGAAAAAAGAAAATAATTATAGTCAAAATTCCCACTTGGAAAAGTAGCAACCAAATCTTGCTGGACAGAAATAGTGGAGTCCCTGCCCTAGTGGTAAAGAAAGTTCCTCTTGTAGCTTATCTTACAGCCTTAGTTCTGCTTTTTGGGAAGAGTTCTTCTGCTCATTGTCCATTGTAGCTCCTGTCTCTCTACTCTGGGACATTCTTATTATCTATTATACACCATGGTCATCTGTGAGTTGGATATCAGGGAGCATGCCAAAGCAGGTGCCATAACAATCTAATAGCATCATTAAAGTACTTGATAAATAATTGTGGTATGTATGCACAGTAGAATAACAGGTGGCCATTAAACTGAAAGAAAGTGATCCACATGTATTAATAAATGAATTTCAAGGGCAGAGCCTGTGGCTGAGTGGGTAGGGTGCCGGCCCCATATACCGAGGGTGGTGGGTTCGAACCTGACCCCAGCCAGCTAAAACAGCAGTGACAACTGCAACAAAAAATAGCCAGGTGTTGTGGTGGGCACCCATAGTCCCAGCTACTCAGGAGCCTGAGGCAAGAGAATTGCTTAAACCCAAGAGTTGGAGGTTGCAGTGAGTTGTGACTCTAGGGCACTCTACTAAGGGCAATAAAGTGAGATTCTGTCTCTTAATTAATTAAATAAAATACAAATAAATTAATTTCAAGATATATTACATAAAAAAGGTACAGTAAAGTAAGGACCATGTGTATGATATACTTCCTTTTGTGAGGAAGGAAATACAAGGAGAGATATACGTGTCGTACATACACAGATAATATTTGGGAGTATACATGAGAAATTGTCAACAGTGATTTCCTCTGGAAAGAAGACCACAAAATCAAAAGTACAGGGGTTTTACTTTTTGTTTCATACCCATTTATTCTAGATGAAATTGTTACCAATGGCTTATTTCTGGTTATTTTATTATTTTTCTGGAGATAGTCTCACTTTGTTGCCCTCGGTAGAGTGCCATGGTGGCACAGCTCACAGCAACTTCAAACTCTTGGGCTCAAGTGATTCTCTTATCTCAGCCTCCCAAGTAGCTAGGACTACAGGCACCCAGCTATTTTTTAGAGATGAAGTCTCGCTCTGGCTCAGGCTGGTCTTGAATCTGTGAGCTCAGACAATCCACTTGCTTTGGCTTCCCAAGCTGAGAGAATCCACTCGCCTTTAGTCCCTCAGGGACTTAAGTAACAATTCCCTCCCAAGGGATTACAGGCATTAGCCACCACACCCAGCCCCATATTTCTGTTTTAATTTATATACTTTTCTTTCTTTCTTTTATTTTCTTTTCTTTTTTTTTTTTTTTGAGAAAGAGTCTCACTGTGTTGCCCCAGGCTAAAAAGTGCTGTGGTGTCATAGCTCACAGTAACATATGTTTCTTAGTTAAAAAAAAAAAAAAATTGACTGGGAAGAGGAAAATGAGAATGACAAATGATTTATGAGTCTTTGTGATTCAAAAAATATTTACCATTTAACTCCAGAAGGTGGAAATTAGACCTTTGGTATTTTCATTTTCTGGATGGGTGGGCAGCTAAGGCTTTGGCTGTCCTAACACATACTGAAAGGCTCATACTTGCAGTTCTTCTTTATCCTATTTAGCAGGAGAATAAGATTCATACTTGCTTTTCCTCTACAGTGGAAATTTTGCTAAGCCGACAAAAGAAAGCTGAACTTCTAAAGAAGATGACTGATGTGGCTGTTCGAATGTCAGAGGACCAATTGGTTGAGCTCAGAGCTGATATCAAGGTAAAATTCCCTTCTCCTTTCTGCCTTTCTTCTTAACCTCAGGGGCTAAAGTAACAAATCTCTGTAATTCATGGCCATATCTAATATACTGAACTCATGAGTCTTCCCTTCCCCAGCCTAGCCCTCTTCCAGGTTCCTTTCCGTTAAGTGGTACTGTCATCTATCCTGTTGTCCAAGCTGGAAACCCTAGGAAATTTCTCCATCTCCCACGTGAAATCTATCAACAGACCCTGTCCATCTGACCTTCTAAATTTCAAATCTGATCTTATTCCCTCATCTCCACCACCACGATCATGATCATGATCAGCTACTGCCGTCCCTTGCATGGACTTGTACAATGGTCTCTGAACTGATTCTGTGCATCATTTTGCTACTGCCTCATCCTCCCCACCATTTCATATCTGGTCCTCACACTATAGCAATCTGCTCCAAACTTTCCATTGCTTTTATTTTGTTGTTGTTTTATTTATTTATTTATTTATTCTGCGCTGGGCAAGTGAAGCATTGGGAGAGGAGAGGGAACAATCCATTGATTTTAGGATATATGTTCTAGTCCTCAACCTGGACTGTAGGCCTGCATGGTCTGGCTCTGCCATCATCCTTCGTTCACCCAATAATTCCCCTTGTCCTCTGTCCTCCAGCTGTACTTGTTTTTCCTCTCCACAGACATATATCCTCCTCCTTCCTGCTAGGTGGCCACTGTGTGTGCTTCATCTGTCCAAAACACTGCAATGGTGCTAATGTAGCTCAGTGCAGCCTAGACCTCTTGGTTCAAGCAATCCCTCTGTCTCAGGCTCATCAGTAGCTGGGACTACAGGCATGTGCCGCCACATCCATCTAATTTTTAGTACATTTTTCTAACAGGATCTTGCTCTGTCATCCATGTTATTCTCAAACTCCTGGCCTCAAGCAATCCTCCTGTTTCAGCCTCCCAAAGTGCTTGAATTACAGGTGTGAGCCACCATTCCTGGCCTATAAATCACTCTTTAATCATTCTATTTTTCTTTTTTTTTTGAGACAGGGTCTTACTTTGTCACCCCTGGTAGAATGTCCAGGCATCATAGCTCACAGCAACCTCAAACTCTTGGGCTCAAGTGATTCTCTTGCTTCAGCCTCCCAAGCAGCTGGGACTGCCACAATGCCCAGCTATTTTTGTTGTTGTTGTTGTTGCAGTTGTCATTGTTTTTTTAGCTGGCCCAGACCAGGTTTGAACTCGTCAGCCTCAGTGTATGTGGCTGGTGCCCTACACACTGAGCTACAGACACCACCCTTTTTAGTCATTCTTAACCTACTCATCCTTTTTAACTTCCCTGACATCATATCCCCCTATTCTGTGCTTTCAGAGCACAGTTATAATTTTATGTGCATTTAATTAATATCTTTCCTATAAGATTGTGAATTTCACAGTGGCAGGAGCTGCTGTATCCCTTGTGTCTAACATAGTGCCTTGGGACATAGTAAGTAGGTCTTCAGTAAATAGTAGTTGGTTGGTCAGTTTGATTTTATAAAGAAAAAGTAGCAATTTAAAATATTGATTATATTGTAATCTATTTATGAAGATTCCCTGGGTTCAATATTCATCCCTTTTAAATTCTTATATAAAAAACTTTGTTTGTGAGACTAAACATGAGAACCTGAGAGAAACTAGGATATTCATGAGTAGTTTTGGACATTACATTGGTGTTCTCCATAATTGGTTATTCTGTAGACCATGAACTGTATGGACAAGAGAATTGGCCTTTTCCACTCCTGCAGCTTTTTTTTTTTTTTTTTTTTTAAACTCTGAGACAAAGTCTTACTTTGTTGCCTGCGGTAGTTCACAGCAACCTGAAACTCTTGGGCTCAAAGCAATTCTCTTGCCTCAGCCTCCCTAGTAGCTGGGACTGTAGGCCCTCGCCACAACACCTGGCTATTTTTTAGAGGTGGGGTCTTGCATACTCAGGCTGGTGTCAAACTCCTGAGCTCAGGCAATCCACCCACCTTGGCCTCCCAGAGCGCTAGGAATACAGATATGAGCCACTGCTCCCCGTCTAACCTCTGCTTTTTTTGAACACATAAGATTTGTTGTCATAGTTGAGAGGGACACTTGCTGCAGAAGCTGTACAACACCCTCTGTGAAGTAATAACATAAGTGGAAGATCAGTTAGGAACCCGCAAGAAACCTCATGATCATTCTGACCCAGTTTTATACAAAACCCCAGAGTAAATAACGATTCTCACACTCCTTCTTAGACTCTGTTGGGATGAAATAGTCCAACAAGCAAATTTTAAATTACCATTTTCTGTTTAACTAAAACTATATTACTAAATTTTATAGAAAGGCTGCTTACTTTGATGCCAGTTATGCTCATTCAACTATCTGAGAGAAGCCGGAAACCCCTTTGGAATTAGATGAGAATGCTGGCTCTCACAGGCTTCATCTGCTCCCCTTCCCACATGGCTGAAAAGCTGCTAGAAATATTTCTGCAGGCTAAGGATCTGTTTCTCTCTACATTTTCAATGCACTGAAGTGGTGCTGTGCAATTTAAATGTCTTATTTCTAGATCATTTTATTTCCGTCATTCCTGTTATGTCTTTGGCTCAACAAACCCTAGAATTTGTTTCACAGTTAATCTCAGACTAATATTACATGTCCAAAGGCTTTCTTGCAAGTGGTTTATGTGTTTTTATAAAGCCATAGTATAATCTGATGCTTTAGGACTTCAAGGCCGAAAGGTAATTTTTAATCTCTTCTTTTCCTTTCAGTGCTTCTAAATGCATTCGAAGTAGAATCAGTCCAGTTAGGAGGACTGCCCTGAGTAGTTCAGTTGTTCTAAATTATATTTAGGCCTTTAACTTTTCTTTTTCTTCTCTTTTTAATCTAGGGGAGGAGAAAAAAGATACCACGCTACCTTAGATATTTCTTATTGAAATAGACCCCTAGAAGCACTGTACTCATGACATATTCCTAGGCCTACAATTTCTATAGTATAGTTAGTTTTTCCTCAAGGGGTTGGTTACTTCTCAGGTCTATCTACCTAAAAATATTTAATTATCTGCAGCACAAACTCTTCTTGTTTGCAAAGTTGACTTCTCACATGAATTGTTTTTTGATCTCAAGAATTGTTCCTGGCTTGGCATAGTGTTTATGATGCCAGCCACATACACCAAGGGTGGCAGGTTTGAGCCCAGCCCGGGCCAGCTAAACAACAATGACAACTGCCACAAAAAATAGCTGGGTGTTGTGGTGGGCACCTGTAGTCCCAGCTACTTGGGAAGCTGAGACAAGAGAATCACTTAAGCCCAAGAGTTTGAGGTTGCTGTGAACTGTGATGTCACAGCACTCTACCGTGGGCAACATAATGAGATTCTGTCTCAAAGGGGGAAAAAAAAAAGAAATTGTTCCTATTTCAAGGACTAAGAAACCCTACTTGAAAAGAAGTGAAGTGGGTTTCCTAAGGAAGTTCCTATTAATAGTAAACCATTTATCTAAATGGGATCATAGTCGTAACTTATAAACGTTTTCACTGCCTCTATTTCTGTATAAAATGGAATGATGTGAAGAATAGCCAACTGGAAAGATGGCCTAATACTATAAATTCTTCCTTCTTTTCCCTTTCTCTGTAGTTTCTCTTGATGATACTTAATGGGCTTTGACCATCATACAACATTCATAAAACTTCCAGACTATCTTTGAGTTCTTGACAAAATGAATGAATTTGTTCTTTCACCCAGCATTAGTAGTATGATGGCCATTTAGTAAACTTTGAAGCTGTAAAGAGAAGACAATGGAAAATAATTCTAGCCGGGTACAGTGGTTCATGCATGTAATCCCAGCACTCTGGGAGGTCAAGGCAGATGGATTGCCTGGCTCAGGAGTTTGAGACAAGCCTGAACTAGAGCAAGACCCCATTTCTTTTTTTTTTTTTTTTTTTTTTGAGACAGAGCCTCAAGCTGTCCCCCTGGGCAGAGTGCCGTGGCATTACAGCTCACAGCAACCTCCAACTCCTGGGCTCAAGCGAGTCTCCTGCCTCAGCCTTCCAAGTAGCTGGGACCACAGGCGCCCGCTACAATGCCTGGCTATTTTTTAGTTGCAGCCGTCATTGTTGTTTTGGCGGGTCCGGGCTGGGGATTCGAACCCGCCACCTTAGGTGTACGTGGCTGGCTCCCTAGCCCGTTGAGCTATAGGTGCCGAGCCAAGACCCCATTTCTAAAAGTAACCCACCACAACGCTGACTGGGAGGCTGAGAGGCAAGAGAATTGCTTGAGCCCAAGAGTTTGAGGTTGCCTTGAGCTATAACACCCTGTCACTCTGCTTTGGGCAACAAAGTAAGACTCCGTCTCAAAAAAAAAAAAAGAAAGAAAGAAAATAATTCTGTCTTACCTGTACATTGTAAGTTATAGATCCCACATATAATGTTTATCTAACCTAGAGGCCTTTCTTGCCCTTTCTTCAGCACTTTGTTAGTGAACGTAAATATGACGAGGATCTGGGGCGAGTAGCCCGGTTCACTTGTGATGTGGAAACCCTAAAAAAGAGCATTGATTCCTTTGGACAAGGTGAGATGGTGAGGGATTCTGATCACTAAGGGTGGGGATTATTAATTAGAGACTGATGTGCTAAATGGCTTCTCCACTGTGCTTCTTCAGTGCCTCTTATTTGCTTGTTTTTATGAAAAGTAACTGTAAGATACATATGAAGTCCATGGATGCAGATGCTTTGAGCTCTGGGGACCAGCATTTGCTAGTTCCCTAAATGTGAAAGACTAGTCTTTCATGATTTTCTGCTGAATTGAGGTGTATGATATACAGGGTGTCCATAAAGTTTGTGTGCAATTTAAATTATTACTTTTTTCTTTTTTTTAAGGCAGAGGCTCAAGCTGTTCCCCTGGGTGGAGTGCTGTGGCATCACAGCTCATAGCAACCTCCAACTCCTGGGCTCAAGCGAGTCTCCTGTCTCTGCTTCCGAAGTAGCTGGGACCACAGGCGCCTGCCACAACACCTGGCTATTTTTTGGTTGCAACCATCATTTGTTGTTTGGCAGGCCCAGGCTGGATTCAAACCTGCCATCTTAGGTGTATGTGGCTGGCACCTTAGCTACTTGAGCCACAGGTGCCAAGCCTATTAAACTGGACTCCCTGTATAGTATAAAGAGCATAGGGCCCTGTAGTCAGACCTTGCCTCTTGGAACCACATTCTACTCCTTCCCAAAAGAAAATAATGCCTAGCAAATAATAGATCCTTAAAGAAAAGCTTTTAAGTGTGCGTGGGGGAGGGCCCACAAGATGAGTGTTTATCGTAATTTATTGCTCAAGCCCTAAACTCAGCTTCGTGTTCTTTCTCAGTATAAATGTAAAATGTTCTTTGGGGGGGGGTGTTTGTTTATTTTTGAGATAAAGTCTCTGTTACCCTGGGTTGACTGCCATGCATCATCATAGCTCATAGCAACCTCAAACTCTTGGGCTCAAGAGATCCTCTTGCCTCAGCCTCCAGAGTAGCTGGGACTACATATACCCACCACAACACCTGAGGAGTTTTTCTATTTTTAGTAGAGATAGGGTCTCGCTCTTGCTCAGACCTTAGCTTGTGAGCCCAAGTGATCTACCTGCCTCAGCCTCCCAGAGTGCTAGAATTACAGGTGTGAGCTACCACACCTGGCCTAAAAGTGAAATGTTAAACTAGGGCAGTGAGTATGAACTCATCATTAGCCCAAGCTTAAAGCCAAGAAAAATGTCTAGGGAGTAGTTTTAAACCATTGAATTCTGACAAAATATGAATTGAAAATATTAATACCTTTTTTGATAGACTGGTATTTTGAATTTGGATTATTTTTGCAGAAGGAAATTTGACAAGGTACATGTTTGTTATAAAGACTAGTTCTATTCATATTTAAGTGATCTTGATTATACTTTGCGTCAAATTTTTTAGGAAGGATTTAGCAAAGATTTGATTTATTTACCTTTTTCTTTTTTTGCAAAGTCTGTACTTTGGAATGTTCCTTGCATAGGAAACTGAGCATATGGCCCATACTATTGTTCTCGGCTTAGTCATCTGCTAGAATCATAGCCAGGACTTTAGGTAGGAAATGCCAAGAAGTTATTAGCTGAGGAGATGAGTAACTTCATCTTAATCTTCAATCTTAAACTGTTCTCCTTTCTCTAAGAATTCCTTTACAAAGCAGTGGGGACTTGGAGGGAGTGGAGGAGGACAGCAAAAGGAAGATTTTTCTTCCTGTTATCTTTTTTATAGGTTTTTTTTTTTTTTATGACTGCTTGAGTAGATAGTTTTTTATCTTTAATTGCTCATTCTAAAATTGAGATATAATAGAAATCTAACTCATTATACTCTTCCATCATCTGACTATATACTCCTGACATTTCTGTTTCAGTGTCCCATCCAAAGAATAGCTACTCAACCAGATCCCGATGTAGCTCAGTTACATCTGTGTCCTTGAGTAGCCCGAGTGATGCCTCTGCTGCTTCCCCTTCCGCTTGTGCCTCTGCTCCCAGCCTTACAAGTGCTAACAAGAAAAACTCTACACCAGGAGAGACTCCTCCAGCCATAGCAAACTCCAGTGGCCGGCCCTACCAGCCACATCGGGAGGTAACCTAATTTTCACACTGAGCATGTTAGGAAGAAAAGCCAGCAGAGTATCAAAGTTTAAATGTTGATAGTTCAGTGTGAGGTAATACACTGGGAATAAAGATATTACCTTACTTTCTTTATTCCTATTCCACACCTATTTTGAATCCCTTCAGCCCCAGTTAGTTCCTGAGAAAGCATTTGAGATGTATATTCCAAACCACCAGCTAGTTTAAATTTCCTGGTACCAAGAATTTCTGACATTCTTATATTGGCAGTGATCCTTAAAGTTGTAGATTCTATTGCCTGGTAATTAGTCACACTGGGAGTTGTGCACCCATCTCAAGGTAGAAAGGCATCACATGTGGCAGGGTTAACCAGCATGCACATGAAATCAGCAACTCCCTAGAAGCACAATGTGGAATATATCAGGGAAAGAGAGTGAACCTGGGTGGGGAGATCGGGAGAGAACACTAGAAAGTTGAAGAGTAATCCATAGTTTCTTTTCTTTGGTTTGAAGAAGAAATACAAAAGCTTTCCAAGGCAATGCTGTCAGTAATTCTTTAGAACTGGTATAAAATTGGAATTTTGGAGGACAAAAATAAAATCCCATGCCATAAGCATAAGCTTTTTTGGATTGTAATGTGAAAAATGTACTAAATGTCATAGCAGCATGGCTTAATCTGTGGTTCATGATATATAGCAAAGCAGACCATAATTATCTTTATTTTATATTCCAAATGTTTATTATCTTCGCAAATGGCCTATGATCTGCAAAGTTCAGACATGTGATACCTGTCTGGTTGAGGACTTATAACAACCCAAAGAATGTTCTTTCTTCCTTCTTAGCTTTCTTCTTGTGCCCAGCTAAAGAAAAGTAAACTCCTCTACAGTGGAGAAGAACCTAGGAATGAAAGGCAGGGAAAAATGTGTTAATTCTGATATAGTGACTGTATTGGATTGCTGACAGAATTCTGTGAGTCTTGAGAGATAACTGAGTTCCAAGCATCAGATACCACCACAGTTATGCTATCAGAATACTCCTATAAATGGATCTCAAACAAATGGGACCTAATGATGCCAGAGCACCTTGAACATAGTATTATTTTCTCCTTAGGTATTGCTGGGGAACAGACGAGGAGGACAAGGCTACAGGCCACAAGGCCAAAAGTCCAATGACCCTACGAACCGAGGGCGACATGACAATGTGGGTCATTACAGAAACAGCTCGTGGTATTCATCTGGTTCTAGGTATCAGAGTGTTCCACCCCAGGCACCAGAAAATACTAGTGAATGGGGCCAGGCTCACTCTGTAGGGACCAGTGGAACTGGAGCCAGCATGGAACCTAGTCCACCCAAGCCCTCATTCAAAAAAGGTCTCCCCCAGCGCAAACCCAGGACCTCTCAGATGGAAGCCGTGAACTCCTGAGGGAAATTCCAGTGGGCCTCTCTCTTCTATCCTACACAATTTAACTTGATAACTGGACTTAGGAAACTTATAGCTAGATTTAATAACAGAAAGAAGTTTATGCATATAACTTTTTGTGCCATTCTAAATATTTTTGGTTTCTTGTCTCCTTTTTTCCTCTTTCCTATTTTTGGAGAGGAAGCTGTTTTATTCCTTGATCTTTCCCAATAATATGGATTGATTCTGATTTGTCATTTCCACCAGGAATCAGAAGCAACTGTTGCCAGGTTTCCCAAGGATAACAACATTATTTTCAGTGCACAAGGCCTTCCAGTTGTCCCCTGCTGTCCAAGCTGTCTCAGGAGGAAGTGGGTCACAGCTAGTCAGTAGCCTTGCCAATCTAACCAGAAGCCACAGATGACTGCCAGGTTCCCTCCAAATAGTAGTTTGACAGGAGCAATGAGGGAATTGATTACTGCACTGGATTAGCCAGAGAAGGGGAAATGTAATTGGTGAAAAGGAAAGAACACTAAGAAACAGTTGAGAAGCTGCCTCTATCCCAGACCATGCCTGAGATTTGACACTAAGTTCAGGGTTTCAGTCTTCTGCTTGGCACCATGGCTTAACCTGCAATTTCTTCAAAATGCCCGGAGCCTTGTTTCCTATTACCTTAGATTGCAAACCAGTCTAGGGAAATCTAAGGGAAAGTGCATTTAATTAAAGTTGAAAAGTTTAAAAAGAAGTATTTCTCTGTTTCAATGTTCAGAGACTCTTTTAATTTTTTTATTTTTTTGGTTTTCTCCCTTTCCTGAATCCTATTCTGATCCTGAACCAAATTTATAACAGTATAATTAGTGTTAATCTAAGGTGTTACCCATTTAAAAATTGCTGCAATCTTTATAATTGAATAAATAAAAGCAACTGCATAAATGTTCCCATATTTGTCTTACAGCAGCAAGTGATTTCATTTCATTTTCGATTTTTCTTCAGGCCTCACAGGGTGGAAATCACTCAGACAGCTTGTTCCTGGACTTAAATGAGGTATCCGACTCCCAAGTCATTTGTCCACTGCTGCTTATAGCTTCAGGACCAAATTAAAAGGTGAAAGCCAAGATGAGCAAATGCAGCTGTTCCTAGTAGGAAAGGATCTGTAGGATAGGAAATGGTGACTCTCCAAAGGAGTATTTACCAGTTAAGAAAAACCACAGCTGCCAATGGCTCTCCCAGGCAACCAAGGTTGTATTGACACTCTGCTCCCACACTCCTTGTGCCTTGACTGAACAGTGAACGTAACTGTGTAATTGAGCTCTTGCAAGTGGGATTGATGCTAGACCCCCCTAGCCTCCACCCGCCCCCACCCTCTATGATTTAATAACAGCAGAGGTTTTTCTCCAGCATGCATTTTCCCAAGTCAGAAGCCCAAACCATGAATGGCAGCAGTGCAGAACATACCTGCCTCAGGGCTTCCCCTGGCTCTTTGGCTGAAGCTGAGCTGCCATGGTTCAGGTTGGTTGAACAGATTGAGAGAGAGAAAGTATGTGTGTGTGTCCGTGTGTGTCTTTCAGTAAAGAAAACAGTAGTAAAGGAGTACTGTGGAAGCCATTTTCCAAGGGGCTGATCACCTCATTTTTAGGAATTGGTTCAATACTATCAGCTTGTTGGGGATCAGGGAAAATCTCTGCTTTTCTGATTGTTTACCTATACTTTATCAGAAATCCAGAGATTGAAGCAACCTTGAAGAATTATGAGTTCTGTCCCTTTATCCAGGCAAGACTGTATTTAACCACCCAGACAAATGGGAAACCACGTATTTGTCAAAACCACTTTGAGGTTAAAATTCAAATCTCCTTATAGAAAAATACTTGAAGATTTTTTTTTAGATACAAAGTTTGAATATTATGAAGGTGTTTTATGTTTTGTTTTTAATCACAAAATTATTTAAAATATCAGATAATATAGAAATACATTCAGAAATATTATGAAGGTTTTTTTACATTTTGTTTTTTAATTACAAAAGTATTTAAAGGGCGGTGCCTGTGGCTCAGTGAGTAGGGGCACCGGCCCCATATACCGAGGGTAGTGGGTTCAAACCCAGCCCTGGCCAAACTGCAACAAAAATAATAGCCAGGTGTTGTGGCGGGCGCCTGTAGTCCCAGCTACTTGGGAGGCTGAGGCAAGAGAATCACCTAGGCCCAGGAGTTGGAGGTTGCTATGAGCTGTGTAACACCACCACGGCACTCTACCAAGGGTGATAAAATGAGACTCTATCTCTTAAAAAAAAAAAAAAAGTATTTAAAGTATCAGATAACCTAGAAATATATTCAATTATTTATAGAAGGAAAAATAAAAAATTTTCCATGTTCCCATTCCATCTCTCAGAAGTAGTAAGTATTAATTATTTGGCCTTATTCTTCTAGACCTCTTTCCTTTTGTTTTGTTTTGTTTGTTGTTCGTTTTTAGAGATAGGTTCACTGTATTGCCCAGGCTGGAGTGCAGTAGCTATGCAAGGTGTGATCATACCTCACAGCAACCTCAAACTCCTAGGCTCAAGTAATCCTCCTACCCAGGCCTCCTGGATAGCTCGGACTACAGGTGTACACCACTGGCATCAGCCTAGCTCACAGCAACCTCAGACTCCTGGGTTCAGCAATCCTGCTTCAGCCACCCTAAGTAGCTGGGACTACAGGTGCCTGCCACAATGCCCAGCTAATTTTTTTTTCCATTTTTAGTATAGGCAGGAGATTTGCATTTGCTCAGGCTGGTCTTGGACTCCTGAGCTCCAGATATCCACCTGCCTTAGCATCCCAGTGTGCTAGGATTATAGGCATGATTCTCTGTGTTTGGCTGAAGAGAAGTTAGGATTATCTTAAGTTTGAATTTCATAGTCCAAGTGTGTCCATCCTGCGGCCCATGAGCTGCATGCAGATTATTTAAGGACTGTTTTACTTACTTGTGGCGTCGGATCTTTCGTTAATATGCTTTCATTGGTATTTATGTTATTTACTGGATGGCCCAAAACAACCCTTCTTTCAATGTGTGGCAGAAAAAAAAGAAAGGCTGGATACCTCTATAACTCCATTCTTTGCTCCCCATAATATCTCTGGACTTCCCAAAAGTTTCCATACCCTGGGCAGCTACTACTAGTGCTCAAAGAGGCCCTGCCTAGCCATCATTTTTTCCTTCCTTTCTCCATTTCCCCTTGTAGGCAAATGTCTTGTTCTCCCAGAGAGAGATCTGGGACTTTAAGTTGTTTAGCTCTCAGTATTTAAGTTTTGAGAGGCAAAATTTAAGTTAGCATGGCTTCTTTATGAACTTCAGCTATTTCCTAAGCAAACTAATCTTAAAAAAGGATACATTGTGAAAATTTAAAAATTCCTGCTCTCCCAGAAAAATCACAGGTAATTTTCTTAAATATCTTACCAGAAATGTTCTAAACCCAAACATAAAAGTACACTTTTTTGGCTCGGCACCCATTGCATAGTGGTTACAGCACCAGCCACATACACCAAGGCTGGCAGGTTCAAAACTGGCCCAGGCTAGCTGAGGCAACAATGACAACTGTAACAAAAATAACCATTGTGGTGGGCACCCATAGTCCCAGCTATTTGGGAGGCTGAGGCAAAAGAATCGTGTAAGCCCAAGAGTTTGAGGTTGCTGTGAGCTGTGATGCTACAGCACACTACTGAGGGCAACATAGTGAGACCCTGTCTCAATAAAATAAATAAAAGAATATAAGTGTCTGATCCCTGTCTGAAAAACAACAAAAAATACACAGTTTTTCTTTCTTTTACATAAATTGGAATCATACTATGCATATTCTTATAAAGCTTGCTTTTTTTATTTGTCCTCACTTTTCATAACTAATTTTTGTTTTAAGAAAATCCATCGGCTCGGCGCCCGTGGCTCAGGCCGCTAAGGCGCCAGCCACATACACCTAAGGTGGC